AGGAGATTTATTAGCAATTTTGCAATATCCTTCGAAAACGTCAACTAATACAAATAATCCATCTACCATTTTGGGTTACTCTAACCCCAGCTGGATTCTGATATCCTGTCCTTCACTTAAACCATATATATTAGCTCCTATGGGGCATAACTGAGATCGGTGTGGCCAATTGTACATATCTCTGTTACAATTGAAGGTAACTCAGAATGCTTATACATCTTTTCCTGAATTGTAGATAATGATCATCTTCACTAACTAAGTACCTCGTTACCTTCTTTTACTTGTTGAAACTTGTCTCGACCTTCAGATTCTCTTCCTTTTTACCATAAGAGTGGATAGACATTCTTGCCTTAGGGATCCTTATCAAGAAACTTACACATCTTAGTACACACATGATCTGCTAAATACCTCATATTTATTCATCATAAGCATGATGCAAAAATTGAGTTCCTCTGACTCAATTCTTCCACAACTATATCTCTTACCAACCGTCTTTCTGGATGTAGGCATCGTCGTACTATGAATAAGATAGGGTTTAGGAAATTGAGTTCTTACAACTGAGCTCTACCACACGATCTAGAGTAAGAAGAGAGAGTAACAGTCCTGAATGCCTTGTAGCCTCCTGCTTATAAGTGTGGTGCACGAAACACCCATAAACAAGACTCTACTAGACACGGCTTGTAGACTCCTTAGGACAGAACTGCTCTGATACCACTTTTGTCACAACCCAAACCGATGGGCCGCGACGAGCACCCGGTGCCCTTACTCAACCGAGTACCAACGTAACATATCATTCTCATTATATCAACATGGGTAATTGGGCCAGAAGGGTTGTATGAGGTAACAAGAATAAAACATGAGAGAACACTCGACATAAAACGACCCAACCAGATATACTGACTTATATATATGACGTACGGCCCTATAAAGCCAAAATAATCACTCGTACACTAAACATAGGCTGACAAGACCATATAATCTTTCATATACATGACATATGTCTACAAGCCTCTAAGAGTACATAAACATCATAAGGCCGAGACAGGGCCTCGACATACCAATCAATACATGTCTAAATCATACTGACCAAATAAGCAACTCCGGAGCAAATGGAGCGCACCAACATCTTCTGCTGAGCTAATAGCCTACTTGGAGGACTCTCAACCTGTCTATTGGGACCCGCGGGCATGAAACACAGCGTCCCCAAGCAAAAGGGACGTCAATACAAATAATATACCGAGTATGTAAGGAATGCAAATCAGTAAACAATAGACATGAGGGAAACATGGAGTAAAAGACTCAACATGTATATCTGAATATCTCTGTGAATCCTTTAATATTATAATGTCATGCATATGCGTATAAATGTCATACCATGCATGGGTATATGCGTTCATAACATCATCAAGCCTCTGAGGGCATCCCATCATATCATCTCGGCCACTGTGGGCAAATCATCAACGTATACCAGCTTATCAGGTGGTGGTGCATATATAATGCCGTAACCTTTTCTCATATCCCATATATATATATATATATATATATATATATATATATATATATATATATATATATATATATATATATATATATATATATATATATATGTATATATATATATACATATATACGCGTATATAACGCCATCTGGTCACGGGTCAATATAAATGAATGCAATGCATGAGAAGTACGTCAATAAAGTCTTTCCGAGTGTCATAAGACCATTATGCCTTTGATTAATATCGTGAAGTAAACTTTATCAGCTTACGTATTTTCTGAGACCCATGAACGGATAATAGAATAATAGGACACATGGGGAATCAAGAACATAAGAATCTCTAGTATTTCTATGAATAGAGTCATTTATGGAAGTTGTGCTTTGCTCGTTTCGTTTGTATTGTATGGATCATGCCAAAAAGAAAGACGGGATAGCTTAACATACCTGAACCGGCTCTGTTGACAATCTCTCTAACACATGACAATCGACAAAACACATGACGGCAATATCAGAGTAGGAAAAAATCCGTATGATATTCTTGAGGAAGATTACACTGTACTCCCTTAGAATCGCAAATCCCGCGTTGCTAAAATATTAAGAAATCTCGTTTGAGTGAAAAGTTAAAGCAACTCACGTTGCTAATGAAATTTCATCTTGCTGAAGCCTCTCTCTTTAATTTAGATGTAATACATCTTCATTTGTGAATTGGAGAAGGATTTTAAGTCTTGGTGGTGTGGGCCCCACCTTTCAAGACTTGGTGTCACATATCTCCCTTAAATGTGCCACCTTTCAATCTCTTTTAAGAGTCAAATTTGGTGATTTTGTTGGCTGCCACGTTAAGGGTTCCTTGGTCTTATCCAAGGTCCTAATTAATCATCCACCAATTACTAATTAACTTGTTAATTCCTCCCATTAACCAATTATCCACATAATTAAGAATTATCTCAAATTACCTAAAATACTACTCACTTTTAACACAATTTATGTACTCTGTTATCATAGTCATGTGGTACCTTGTATGGAACTAGTTCATAAATACCGCGTATTTTAGCTCGGGCCGTATTTTATCCCAACATGTCACACTTTGACAAAAATTTATTTTCTTTGATTTTCTTACCCTGTCACCTTCACGAATCTACTCATTACTTATTTGAAATAGCATAATGTCTATAATCTCAAAATAATCTCATTCCCGAACTTTCATCAATTTATTTATGGCGCACTTTCACGTACAAAATATGGGGTGTGACAGTCATGATCATAGCTTGCCGCCAATTGACTTAGCCGCACACGCCCATTGCCACAGCTACCCGCCTATGTCAAGTTGCCCTCAACTTGATCAAATCTGCCCACTTTAATGTCATGTCTTGTCGCCTTGCCTTGTCTTGCCATGTCTTGGCCCCTACTTTGACGTGGATTTGCCTTGCCATTGTTATGCCACCCCGCACGTCCATGTGAAATGTGACTTGCCTCCGTTCAAGGTGCGTTTGTCAACCCCGCATAGTCCGTCATGCCGAGCTGCCCGTCATGATGTTGCCCCATTTTTTTGGCTGTGTGCCAAGGCCATAATGAAAATACTTGTCACTACCCACCCCGTCGAGGAACTTTGTCAAGAGGCTAACAAACCACCCCCGCCCGAAGAATTCGTCGTCCTCGACGAAGCAGTTTCCGCATTTTTCAGCACCACCATAGGCCCTAAATATGTTGTCTCTTGCTCATATTCTTCCTCGTTCAGCTCATCTTCACCTTTTTCTTCAGCAATAAAAGTTGTAAGCCGTTCAAGTTTCGGACAGTCCCTCGCCATGTGTAGTCCTTTACAAATAAAACAGCCATCAAACTTGTTGTTTTGTCCCTTGTTTGTCGAAGGTCCAGCACATTGCTTTTCTTTTCCATTGCCCTCAACAACATTTCCCTTGTCATTCTCGTTTTTCCTCCACTCTTTTGCCTTTTCCTTGTTCCCATTTTTGGAATTTGAAGTAGTAGAGAAATCAGAAAATTCCTGCCCCAGCCGGAAGTCACCCAAAGCATCCGCAGCAGCGATGGCACTGGGAAGGTCTTTCACGTTCTGCCTTCTAAGTTGCATCTGCGCCCACGACTTCAACGCGTAAAGGAAATTGTGCAGCTTGTCTTCCTCATACTTGTTGCTAATATCCAGCATCAAAGAACTGAAATTTTTAACATAATCCCTGACCGTTCCAGTTTTTTTCAACTTCTTCAAACGATCTCTAGCAATCTAGCCTGCATTTTTAGGAAAGAATTGATCCTTCAACTCTTTTTTTAGCCCTTCCCAAGAGTCAATTTTCGGCCTACCAGCACTTACATCGTCTTCCACGTGCATCCGCCAACAAATCTTTGCATCGTCCACCAAGTACATAATCGTAATGGTGACCTTATCTTCATCTCGCACATAGGCAGCCTGGAAGTACTGCTCCATATCCCGCGGGAAATTTTTGGTTTCTTGGCACTTTTTAAACCATTAAACTCTTTAGGCTCAGGAATTTTGACCTTGGTACGATTTGCCCCACGCTGGACATCATCATTGCCAACAGCACAATGCAGCAACCCATGTTCTGCTTTCAGATATGTGCACTCTTGGCTCAACCTGCTCATCTCTGCCTCAAGATAGGCAAGACGAGTCACAATAGTCAGAAATTAATCACCATCAATAGTTTCGGTGAGTGCCTCCATTGCAGCAACTTTTTCCCTCAGTTCTGCATTGCCACCAGCCATCTTTCACGAAATTCAACCACTAAACATCATATCTTCACCCCAATCCAGCCACGCTTTGATACCAGTTGTCACACGGATGATTTATGTCACTCGAATTCTTCCCGAGGTTCACCACTGCACGACAGTCAAGCCCAGCCTTGACTTCAGCCTTCCAACACTTAGAATAATTTTAGGAACGTTTTGGACTTAGAATGATTTAGGCAGCAAGTAAAGTAAGTAAAGGCACACACAAATTTACAGAAATTTCTTCCCAACTCGTATTAATATGTGAATAAAAGAATACAAAGAAGCCAACCCTATGGCCAAGAACAAAGAACTCCCTAGTTCCCTGCCCCAAAACGAATTTCCCACCCTTAGGAATTACACTTAGACATTTTTGGCTAACACTTGCCACAAGACTAAGTTTTCTGCCCATTTGGGATAGCCTTGTGCACATATTTATAGTGTAGGCTGCCCAATTACACTTGACAACATTTTAGACAATCAGTTGAAGCCCCAAATAATGAGCAAACATAGGGAACATTCTAAAAACATGTATCACTAAGTCATACAATCATCCATTATCTAAAAATGTACCTCCACTTAGCCCCATGATCAGTCATGCCTGAATGGGACAGTTGTAACCGCTCAACCGCCCTGCATGTGCACTGTATGTGCTTGTTTTGGCCAGCTGCTGAACGCCCAAGGCTGGCATTGCGCCCAGCCTTGCCCTTTGACACTTCTCCGCCCCAATGTCATGATCATAGCTTGCCGCCCATTGACTTAGCCGCACATGCCCATTGCCACAGCTGCCCGCCTATGTCAAGTCGCCCTCAACTTGATCAAATCTGCCCACATTAATGTCATTGCTTGTCCCGCATTGCCTATCCTTGTCTTGCACTGTCTTGGCCCCTACTTTGACATGGCTTTGCCTTGTCATTGTTATGCCAACCCGCACGTCCATGTGAAATGCGCCTTGCCTCCGTTCAAGGTGCGTTTGTCAATCCCGCATAGTCCATCATGTCGAGCTGCCCGTCATGATGCCCAACTTTTTTTATTGCGTGCCAAGGCCATCATGAAAATCCTTGTCACAACCGACACACCTGCAGAAGAACTTTGTCAAGGGGCTAACAGGAGGGACTGTAGGTTTTAATATAAATCTATAACCGTACCGATAATTAGGGTAGATTTTTAATTTTAATTTTTGAATATTTAATCTTCTATAGACTTTATTCTTGAATCGCAGCTTGGTTAATATCTTTCCACTCGTATTTTCTTTATATTTGCTTAGTTTGTTTTACGCTGATGTAGAATAGTTGATGGATTTATATTCTAGCCATCTTTCATATTTTCTTAATTCATCACCTTTAAATTGTAAAAATCTCTAGAGAATTTTGCTAATTCCTATAAAAGTAGGTATGTTATTGCATTCCACTTTTACTAGTGACTTTTACATGACATTTAAAAAAGGTTACCGAATATTTATCGAACCGTACTGATACCGAAGAGAAACCGATATGATTAGAACGGTTTCGAAAAGTCTAATTTTGATTATACATAATAGAATAACCGAAAAATTGATATGGTACAAATTTTATAAAATAACCGCCGAACGGAACCTTTGACACCCCTAGCGACAGGATTAAACCATGCACCAACTGAAGATAACTTGATATTACGTGCCAACTTTGGTCGAAAGGGGGATAGAGGAGATGGAACTTTTTCCCGTAGATGTGAACTTGGTGGGCAATTCAAGGAGAGTCCAGCCTGTAGATTTAAAACAGTTTCCTTTTAACATCTTATGTGGGGGACCTTTTAAATGTATTTGCTGAATCTATTCTGTCTTCACCAAAATATACAGAAGAGTTCCACATGGAGATTCTGACAACAGCTTGAATTGCATATATTTCGTGATGAACTTGAGAGAGATTAGTGGGTGAAAGTAGTAATTGTGCTGACAGCGTTGTACATATAGTCTGTTGTTTAGTTAATTACTGCATTCATATGCATCTCTGTTGTGTTTGAATGAAGCAAAGCCTACGTCTTTAATTTGCCTCCTAATAAGGGCGCTAATTAAAAGCATTTACCTACCCTTTTACATTTCTGCTTAAATATAGGCTTCTCCCATAAGACGGGGCAATTCTTTTTGGCACAGTTATTTTGGAACTTCCCATTTTCAGTCCTTTTTTTTTTTTTTTGGGCTCAGATTTGTCACTGTGTCATGGACTGGAACTTGAAGAGTCACCAATTGGAATGGGGCTGGGATAATAATATAAGCATTTGCAGTTGCTCGGGATTGGAGTTTTGTAGGCATGCAGAAACTTTCATCAATGAAAAGGAAGTAAATAAAGCTGAAAATATCAAGCATATATATTCTCTAGATGGTGTCTCTAGCTATAGTTTGGACCATGGCTCTTCTGTCAAATCTTCAGCTGAAGAAAGTAATTATGGGATAGTTGGTTCTGTGCCAGGTTTTGTAAGCGTGGAGAGAAAAGAGAAATATTCTACTTCTGGAACTTGTACAAGACCTGGTGGATCGTCAATTGGCTTAAATCTGTACCCTGCTAACAATGAGACTGTTACTTCTAATTGTCCTGTACTTCCTTTGTCATCTACGACAGCAAAGCGATGTAGGGGTTCTTATCATCTAATGCAGAATCCCTACTGCCAAGTTGAAGGATGTAATCTTGACCTTACATCAGCTAAAGAGTACCATCGGCGTCATAGAATCTGTGAAGCCCATTCTAAAAGCCGAATGGTCATTGTGGCTGGGATGGAGCGCCGTTTTTGCCAACAGTGTAGCAGGCAAGTTAATTTCTGTGTGCTGTTTATTGTTAGTTTTAGCACTTCTATCCAAACACATAACTATTTATTTATAAAATCAGTTTTATGTTCTCCATGATCATCAGCTATTCTAAATCATTTAAACCAAACGGGCTCTAAGTTTATTCTGCTGTATATCATCTCATCACTTCTTATTACTCTCTAGTACATTGTGCTAAGAGATTAATTTAAGAAATAACTTTTTGGTTGATTTTGAAGGTTCCATGAGTTGTCCGAGTTTGATGATAACAAACGAAGCTGTCGAAGGAAGCTCTCTGACCACAATGCTAGGCGTCGTCGGTCACAACCAGAGGCAAATCACTCTAGTTCAACAGGCACGACCTTCTTCGTTTCATGGTGCCTTTCAACTGCTCTCTGTTGTCACTTTGTCTAAGATGTTTGCATATATACGTACGCACATGGTCCTCATGTAAAAAGAAAGGCAATCTGGTGCAGTAAACTTCGGCTATATTGTATGAGTCTGGGAAGGGTCGTACCACACTGAATCTATTAGACGAAGTCTTACTTGCTTAAATATCTAAAAGAGGCAGATTCCACGGCTTGAACCCTGATCACACAATGGAACTCCTCCTGTTGTGTCAAGTCTCCCCGTCCCCGTTCTTCATGTGCTATTTCAATGGTTTTCTGTCCTAAAAGTTAAAACATGCCATTATTAACTATCTGTTAAAAAGTAGTTTTCTGTGTCCCTAAAAGTACATTTTAGATTTATCTTTACTTTGACAGGGCAATTCTTGCTTGCTGCTACTCTTTCCTTTGTCCTTAAGATATGATAGATTTGCTGTTCGATAACTTGTTTTATATCTAAATTCATACATATCAATAAGTGTCTGCCTCAATCTGAACAGACCGACAATCACGTACTAGTGGTTCTTTATGTGGATCATCTTCGTCCACTTCAAATTCAATGGGGAAAAGCTCTTTCCGCCCTAAGAATATACAAGGTATTGATTCTCTGATTCTTGAAATACTTATATGAGCATAAAGAACTGTCTATGAAACATAGGTCATAGGATGTTTGGACCAAGAGTTGTTACATGAATTCGCCAGAGAAATAATTGGTTAATTTCCAAAAGTATGAACATAAAATGTGAACATTCCATTTTTCAGTGACATTTCAAACACTATCTGTTATCACTTCTAATATGGCTATTTGCTCCCAACTTCCATGTTAATTGTTTCAGGTTTAAATACATCTACAAGTGATTATAAGTTGGATGTTGCATCCAATCTTCCACGACGTGCTCATTCTCTTCTGTCAAGAAACTCTTTTGGTTTGGATGATCCTACACATACTTCCATGGAGCAGCTTATAATGCCTGCAAGTGTCGGTGAATCACAGCCGTTTGTGCCCTCTGTAACACCAAACTGGCAGCAAGTTTCATCAGAACATTTTCCGGCAGATCATCAAGTGCCTTTCTACTCCCCACATTGCTTCAACGGATCTGCCTGATATGACATGTATGCAGCAGCTCTTCCAAGAGTTTTTAACAGTTTGGCACATTCTTTTTCATGCCAAATAACTCATACTAATAATGCTATCTCTTTCTGGTGGAGCACAGATGTGGTAACCTTCTCTTTGTGGTCAAATAGTAAGGCAAACATGGCAAAGCATGAAGTAAAGACAGAGTACTTGAACCGCATGAAGTCTCTTTGCCGCTTAAAATAAGTAGTTTCATAGCACATTGTTTCGTACGTTTTCTAGGATCAGATATTAGCACCATCACAAGTCATTGTTGACTTCCAATTGACTGAGAGTTGGAATTAGCGTGCCAAACTCATTGTAGATGTTGTCTTTTTATTTGAAGTTTGTAGAACAAGGATGAGTCCGTGAGGCACAAGCGACAATTCTCCTTAATGACAAACCAACCTGCTATCTAAAATCTCCAAAACTACTATTATGAGTAAGTGCAGTAGAGTATTTTGTTTTTTCCTAAGTACCGTTACTTGAGTATTTCAGATCATGCACAATCCTCTTATCCTCAGATGGAAGGCAGGTCTAATGATCAGTATCTCTTTAAATATTGAACAACAGCATTTGACACGAAATTTGACTCATTGAATCTTGATCTAGTGTCTTAAAAAAAATCCTTGATCTAGTACTAGAGGAACAAAAAAAGGACAGTCTGGTGCACGAAGCATCTCGTATTTATGTAGGATCCGAAAAAGTGCAGCACCCCAAGGGGGTGTGATGTTGGCAGTGATCACGCTCAACTCTAGTTCTAGTCGCTGACAAATATAATATCTGGTCGAAGAGTCCGGAGTCGAATCCCACAGAGAACTAAGATTTTGCTACAATTAGTTACTATCACTAAGAAGACAAGTTTGAACGAATTCTGAAGTTATAAAGATTGAAATTTTATTTCTAACTAGTTAACCAACTAATTAAGTAGAATTATTAACTAAATATACTAAGGGTTAGAGATAAGATTAAGGAGGCCTAGAGTTATGATTTTCCCACAATTTACTAGACGTATTCTTCCGAACTACGCCAGCTGGCACTAGTTTACCGCTCACTAAGATCGCACCAAGGTTTCGTTATTCCTAATCCTACCTTTAAACCCTCCATATTGATTCCTCACATACGTTAGGAGTGATGTTACTCAATAACTAACTAAATATGTACCATTTTCCAACCAATACACACTAAATAGGCACAGTCAATTGAGGGCCCTTTTATCAACTAAGATAATTACGTAGTTGAAAGAGAAGAGAAAATCCAACGGCAAAATTATATTAAACGCAACAGAAAATCATCCTCCAAAAGGTTCCATCAAACCCTAAATAAAAGAATTTAGCTACTCATAATCATACTAACAATCATGATAATAATTGAAAGCATTAAACTACAGATTAAGGAAGAGCAGAGAGATTACTCTTGTGATTCGTTGTTTCCAAGTGCTCCCGTAGCCTTTTGCCTCTCTAATAATGTCTCCCTCTTAAAAGATAGATTTAGAACCCCTTTTATACATGTTGGGGCGTGTAGGGTGGAAACTACCAAGTCCTAGCCGAATTAGGATGAAATCTGCCATTGGGCGTCCCGCTTTGCACCTGACGCGAACCTGGACACCAAACTTTTTCCACTTTTGTGCTCTGCTGCCCTTGGCGTTTTGGTTGGTGCCTGGCGCGAAGCTTGGGCACCAAAGTCATACTTCCTCCAAATTCTTCTCTTTTTTTACTTCAATTTGCATGCAAGCTTTCCAAATCACTTTCAATTGACTCCTATACATATAAATGCCATCGAGTCACAAATATTCACACCAAAGTTAACAAGATCAAGGCATAATGCAAGGGAAATTACATACAAAAATATGGACACTTAACTTAACATCATCACCCCACACTTAAGCTCTTGCTTGTCCTCGAGCAACCTAAAACCTTGCTAACCAGACAATGCACGCAAGACGTCATACAACAGAGGAACATTTGGCAGTTCAACACACTACACCTATAACAGTGATTGATACCAACAATTAGGCCCTTGCATAGGCATCATACCTTTGCCAACATTCACATGCCTGAATATTAGTGACCAATTTAAAACACTCAAAAAACCTGCCCATAACCACCCAACCTCAAAGACTGACTCGTTGCCAATAAGCACTCTCAACTCGTGCACTCACCCATCGGGAGATGTATAATAACGTCACCTATCCGTCATGGAATCGCGTGCCCTCACCAAAAAATAAGATGGTATTTCGTACACACATTCAAATATGCATTCGAATATAATTTAAGGACATCAAATGTATGAGCAAAAAACCACTCACTCTTACAAAGAAATTCATATGCATTCTGTGGTTGTACCATAGGCTTGCCCGTAGTATATAACTTCACTAATCTCAGCTCGCAAAATCTAAGATCAGTTAGGTCTTTACGGGTCGTAATGTAGGCTAAGGGACGGGTAGGCTATATTTTTGGCATAGTGACTAACCCTCCTAAGCACTTTAATACACTACACTTAACTTTCAAATACACACTCTTCATGAGCAATTCAAGAATTGCCACGAAACCATATACAACCTGGCCCTTCTTCCTTAAGCACAATGATGCATTCACTAGCCCGGATCACGATGAATAAGAGATGTATTTTCTATATATGTACTTTTTTTCTCTTTTGTATTTTCTTTGCTTTTTTTCTTCTCTTTTTTTTCAACACTGTCCATAAATTTTGGTTGCCGGGCTAATGATCTTCCAAAATACACATGCACCTTTTGGCCTTTTTATGGTTCCACTCAAAAGCTATCCCAACTCTCACCTTACTCTTCCAGTGACTTAAGTGCTTTCGGAGGTAAAAGTTCGAAAAGATTTAATTGAGAACAAAAATAGAAATCGGCTTGTAATGTGGGTACCAAAGAAAAAGCTTATAGGCTCAAATGGGCTATCTAAGTACAATTTTATTTATGGTGGCATAATAGCTCAATAGATAATCAAAGAAACACCTACATCATCTCCTAGACTCACAAAGCTTACTTATTTCTCTTCGACTAATACACAGGGCAAGTTCTAGACAAAAACAGGATAACACTAAATGTAATCAAAACCTCACATCACACAATGCACATGATCCCAGTCCGGACGGGTCCATTCCAACTCTCAAGTTTAGGCAAGTAATCACAAAGTCAAGAAATATTAAGCAATAAAGCACTACATGAACAATGAGTCAAGTAGCTGAGAGAAAGCGTCACAGACATGCTATTCAACCTTTTACGACATCAATTTTCATTAAAACATGTTAGGAAGGTAATTTGAAACTCAAGTTTTCTTCCCTCGATTTCCTAAAAAATAAAAAATTACCCGGTTCAAATTACATCCCATGAAAAAGAACCGATGCCAAAACAAAAACCAAGAGAGATTATTATCTACCTACGACTAACTAAAAATAAAATAAAAAAATATTTTTTGATTTTTTTTATTGGACTTTAATCATTCAAGAAAACTGTCCAAGAGATCCATCGTCAGGAACCCCCCACCCCCACCCCCAACCCCACCCCCTTTGTTTTAAAGTTAAACTAACAGAACTAAAATGTCATAAGAAATCACCCAGATAATCTTCTCACACCACAATTTAAAATTGTGTATTGTCCCCAATGCACACCAAGAATAACAAGAGGGTGAAAGAAACTCTGTGGTAGGCCAACGACCGAAGCATCAGCAACTCATGGGATACTCAGACTTCTCCCAAACTTGATTCTTTGTGCGGGCATCCCACACTTTGTTCTAACCATCTCACTTGCTTTTGCTTTCTTACAATGGCCTTGTTTTCCGTGTTCCTAGAGAAATAAAAAAAAGATAACACTACAAGAATAATACAAAGATAAAATTAAAAAAATATATATAGTAAATCTTGTTTCCTCCCAACAAGCGCTTGATTTAACGTCGTGGCATGACGGAAATCACTTTCTGCCTCCACCTCGAGCTTATGAATGGAACTCCAATTTTTGCTTCAAGCTTATCATTATGCTCTTAGGGCGGTACAATTCTTGCTAGCTAAAAATTAAATAAATTCTCATGCACTTTTTGGCTCTCGACCGAGGAGTGTCGCGTTGTCTAGACGGCTTTGAAAATTTCAAAATATAAGGCTCATCTACCTCTTCCTTTGACTCCTTTTTATGCTCATACGGATCAATTCTCATTTCACCATCTGAACATAATGTAGAGAAGTGTTTGGAATGAGGTCCAACGCGCTCAAATAGATGAACTTCAAGATTTTCGACCTGCTCAACACCAATCACACTAGAGTTAACTAAATTTGTATCTTCCATGTCCTTGGCTGAGTCTAGTATTACTTCTTCAACATCGGCATCCTCAAATTATAGTTGTATAGATTGTTGGTGTTCTACTCTGACCTCCTCCATTAGCACCTTAATTTCAGTATCCAATGCATGCTCTTCTTGGCTATTATCCCCAATATTGGCTTGTTGAGCATTTAATGCTTCAACCAATTGACTCACTTGTGCCTCCAAGTTGCGAATAGTAGCATCTTTCCTTTGTATGTGCAGTTGTTTCTCATTATTTTGTTCCACAAGGCACCTTAGCATATCCTTGATCTCTTTCAAGTCATCATCTCTGGATTTTTTGTTCCTATTAACTTCACAAGAAAAAGCAGAACCATCATAGTAAGGGGTTGGGGGAGGATAAAATATATAAGCACAACCGTGAAAGTGACCATCTTGACCACTACACATATCACACACATTCCATACATAAGATTGAGTTGGGACACATAACTCGCTCTCATGAGTATTTTGATAATTTTTCCATGGGTGGTTTTCACTGCAATATGCATAAGGAGGATCAAAACTAGAATTACCAACATCAAAACTCTCATAATTCCAAGATGCCATGTATCTCAAATAAAAAAACTAAAAAATTATAAAGTTCAAACTTGACACCAAGCAATATTTATAGCTACAGCTACACCGTTAGTTCCCTGGAAACGGCGCCAAAACTTGACCACGTCCAACTATAGTCCTAAAAAAAATAAGTGGTCGCTACAAATATAATATCCGGTCTAAGAGTCCGGAGTCGAACCCCAGAAAGAACTAAGGTTCTGCTATCACAGTTTGATATCACTAAGAAGACAAGTTTGAAAAAATTCTGAAGTTATAAAGATTGCGATTTTATTTCTAACTAATTAACTAACTAATAAAAGTAGAATTATTAACAAAAGATACTAATGGTTAGAGACAAGATTAAGGAGACCTAGAGTTATGATTTCCCTAATTATCGGAATTCTCCCCGCTATGCTTCCTATAATTTTTCCTAAGTACTCTCAACCGATCATGATTACTTCGGTTGTCGTAATTCTCTTCCGAGCAACTACCACAATTTAC